TTTAATTTTCATGGTGCTGGGCAAGGACGCTACCACTGAGCCCTTGCAATACCTGCCTTTATGTGTCTGATTTACTGTTCTGAGAATACTGTCTACCAGTTTCATTTTCCTGCAAGTAACAGTATTTCATGCTTCATTCTCTATTGTGTATATACCATATTTTCTTTCTTTTTTTTGGCAGTACTGGGGCTTGAACTCAGGACCTTGTGCTTAGCTAGGCAGGCACTTTACCACTTAAGCCACTCCACCAGCAGCCCTTTTTGTGTGATCTTTTTTTTTTTTTTTTTTTTTTTTTTTTGAGACAGGGTCTCATGAACTGCTTGCCTGGATTGCCTTTGAACCACAATCCTCCTGATCTCTGCCTCCCCAGTAGCTAGGATTATCATCGTGAGCCACTGGCACCTGGCAAAATCTTTATTTATGTATTTATTTGTTGTGGTATAGGATTTGAACTCAGGACCTCACACTTGCTAGGCAGGTACTCTACCAGTTGAGCTACTCCATGAGCATGTTTTTTGTTGTTGTGCCTGGAATAGGACCCAGGGCCTTGCACATTCAAGGCTGCCATTCTACCGCTGAGCTATATCCTCAGAGTCCATTCATCTCTTGATAGTCACCTGTACTGATTTCATAAATTTGTTATTATGAATATTGATGCAATACGAACAGGAGTACAGTTGTGTCTTTTATATGCCAATTTCATTTGCTTTGGTATGGATCCAGGACTGGTACAGATGGATCATATGATAGTTCTATTTGTTGATTTTTTTTTCCCCCCGGCCCCCTGTTTTCCTTTCCCATGATCTGTTTGTTAAGCTCTTTGTTAACAGTATCTTGAAATGTGGAATGTGTTAGCCAGTTTTCCATTGCTGTGACAAAATGACTGAGGAAAACAATTTGAAGGTGTAAAAAGTTGTTTTGATGCATGGTCTCAAATTTTTTAGTTACCGTCTGCTGGGTGCATTACTTGGGTTCTGTGGACAAGGTAGAACATTATGGTCTTAGGAGTCAGTGTTAGAAGAGGTTTCTTATCTCATGGAACCTAGTAAATAGAGGTACTGAGGGGGTAGGGAAAAGATAAACCCTTAAGGTCATGCCCCTGTGACCTACTTCCAACACTTTCCACCCCCCTCCAGTACCCCATTCACTTATGAACCAGTCAATGGCATCAGAACCCTCAAGATCCAGTCACTTACCTCAGAGCCCCATGTCTGGACATTGCTGCATTGGGACAAAGCCTTTAACATGTGAGTCTTTTGGGAACCATTCCAGAACCAAACTAAAACAGGCAGTTCCCAATTTTTTAATGTATATTGGTATTCTCTCACTCTTTTCTTCCAAAGTTTTTAAAGTGGTTAGACGTTTATTATATATACTAGATTAGGTAATGTTGTTTTTGTTGAGTAGATATATATCATAAGATTTTAGTGATCAAATTTTATAGATATGTGTGAGAGTTGACATCTTGGTGACATTGAGCTATTTCTAAGAACATGTGTCATCCTACCCTTTTTGTTTCCCTTTTACTTTCTCCAATAAGAGCTGTAATGTCTTCCCATTAGCATAGCAAAGTATCCTCTATGAATCATTTTAACAAGTAATATGTATTTGTCTGTGAGAAGCCAGGCACAAGTTTCCACGCATTATCAATTACTGCAGTCACAGAAGATACCCACAATTTCCTAATAACAGGAAGTGATAAGTATTATCTGTCAGGCCAGCTCAATAATTACTCCTCCTGCAAACTGTATTTGGGGAGCTCATCAGGTGGGCTCCCTGTATTGAGCATGTTAGAAACTTGCAAGCAATCAGAGGGACAACAGGAGTTAAATAAAGTATTGTTGGCATGAATTGTTCGGAGCACTGAAACCCCCCACCCTTACAGTTGGTCTAGTGAGGCCCATCTCAATAGCAGTTTTCACATCCCAGTTAAGGTTGAACTTTAGTCTCAAACTTTTAAAATATTCAGTCTCTGGACAAATTCCTTCTCATATTGTCTCTCGAGCACACTTAGTGACAGGACTTTGTTATTAGAGATGCTCCAGGACCTGTGTATGAAGAGAAACTTGGGAATCCAGAAACACAGTGAATGATCCTGTTCTGCTATTGCTAACTGAATACTTCCAATCTAGCATCCACGTTGCTGTGACTATGGCTGAAGAGTAAGAGTGTGGTGACCAAAACATGGTGTGCACCTGTGGAGAACCCAGCATCCTTTGAACTTTCTCTTTTCTTGATAAGCAGAGGTCTACCACTTCAGCCATATCTCTAGCCCTTTTTAGCTTTAGCAGTATTTCACATAGGGTCTTCATTTCTGCCCAGGCCATCCTGAACTCTGATCCTCCTATTTTACACTTCACAAAAGCATAGCTGGGATTACAGGTACTCTCTTTTCTGGTTAAGATGAGGTTTCACAAACTTGTTGCCCAGGCTGACCTCAAACCTGACCTCTTTCTCTCAAGTAGCTAGGATTACAGGCATGAGCCACAGTACCAGCTCATTTCAACTTCTTATGTATTGAGTCTAGAGCTCCAACACTGTGAGTCTCACCCTTATTCCTGGAAACATATGTGGGTATTTTAGGATTCAGTGACCTTTGAGGATGTTGCTGTGGACTTCACCCAGGAGGAGTGGGCTCTGCTGGATCCTGCCCAAAAGAAGCTCCACAGAGAAGTGATGATGGAAATCTTTAGGAACCTGGCTGTTGTGGGTAAGGATGACATCATTTGCCTGAATTAATCAGAGAACTTGTGTTTCTTGCTCATCTGTGCTGCTCAGTGATTTGGAATATAGAAAGGGCAAATAGGGTGACTTTACCTGGCATGGTCATATTATACCATAAGCTTACCTAGATTTATTATTTTTATATATTGATATATTTTATAATGATTTTTCTGAATCTGCATTTTAGGAAAAAAACAGGAAGACCTTAACATTGAAGATGACTACAAAAGTGCCAGGAAAAATATAAGGTAATTTTATCCCACAAATGAAATAAAATGTCTCTCCAGAATCTGGGAATGACAAATAAGTCCATTTCAAATTAATCTGAGACAGTTTTCAAACATGCATCTATAATAAGGGTATGTAATGTTAAATTCTAGAATGTGACATTCTCATAAGGAAAATACTGGAGCACTGGCATCCTACCACAAATGAGACATTCAGGTGGTTTAGTAAACACAGACTGTGTTCCATGCAGAAATATTGTATGAGGACTGGATGCAGTGTTGCATGCCGGTAATCCTAGTTATTTGAGAGGTGGAGATCTGGAGGTTCATTGTTCCAGCCAATCCCTGCAAAAAGTTTATGAAAACTCATCTCATCCAATAGTTGGATGCAGTAGTAGCATGCCTGTCATTCTAGTAGTGCAGTAAAATTAATTAGGAGGATGGCAGTCCAGGGTGGCCTTTACAAAAAATAAGAATCTATCCCAAAAATACCTGAAGTGAAAAGGGCTGGGGATGTGGCTCGAGTGGCAGAACCACCTAGCAAGTACAAGGCCCTATTTCAAACCCAAGTACCACCAAAATACTAAAATAAAATGTTGTATAAAATTATCTATGGGGTTTAGGTATCAAATACATGTAAAACATTAAGTGAATTAGATGTTTGTTTTTTTGCTTGTTTTGGTAGTAATGAGGTTTGACCTCAGGGCCTCACAATTGCTAGTCAGGCACTCTACCACTTGAACCACTCCACCAGCCCTGCTTTGTGGGGGTTTTTGTTGTTGTTCTGTTTTTGTTTTTTGTTTGTTTGTTTTTTGAGATAGGGTCTCACAAACTGTTTAATTGGGCTGGCTTCAAACTGTGATCCTCCTGATCTCTACCTTCCAAGTACCTAGGATTTACAGGTATGAGCCACCAGTGCCCTACAAATTAGATGATTAGACTAGACCTATTGTCATCCCCAATTGTTTTGTTTTGGGTTTTTTTGGTGATACAGGGACTTGAACTCAGGGCCTGCACCTTGAGCCATTCCACCAGCCCTTTTTGTGATGGGTTTTTTTCAAGGTAGGGTCTCAAAAACTATTTGTCCAGACTGGCTTTGAATTGCTATCCTCCTGATTTCTGCCTCCTGAGTAGCTAGGATTATAGGCATGAGCCACTGGCATTCAGCTTGCACTAGTTTTAGTGCAAGCAGTTTGCAGAAGACACAATTGATTTTGTGTGTGTGTGTGTGTGTGTGTGTGTGTTTACTGAGGATTGAATCCAGAGCTTCATGAATGCTAGGCAAACCATAAACCTATGAACTACATTCCTAACCCACTCAGTTCCATTTTAATGTGACATAGAAAGACAGGCATAGTGTGCTTGCAATTCCAGATAGTCACAGGGGTTGTAACAGAAGAGCATCACAAGTTCTGCCACAGCCTGGGCAACACAGGAAGATCCCATCTCAAATAATCAATGAAGAAAAAAGACAAAGCCATTCAGTATTTGCAGGATAGTTAACTTGGAAAAACACTGAGCAACCCCATGTAAGTACTGTTGTCTTAATATTAACTGTCTTCCCCACATCCTGCAGAGCATTTAGTTCATTCAAGCTCAGATATGCTTAGACTGCACAAAAGAAAGAGTTCTCCTGGTAAAGTATAATAAATAAAACCTTAGTTATATGCTTCCATATTTTACAGATACCAAGTAATCAAGACACTTTGTGAACAAAAGGAAGGTAGGCAATGTGGAGAAATCATCAAGCAGATTCCAGATACTATTGTGAACAAGAAAACTAAAGTAAAAATGTGTGAAAGTCATGTGTGTGGAGAAGTCTTCGTGGGTCACGCATCCCTAAATGTGCCTAACAGTTACGAGTATCTGAAATACGGAGATGAGCTCCATAAATGCAGAGAATGTGGGAAAACCTTCAGTTACCTAAAATGCTTTCTGAAGCATGAACAAACTCACACTCAAGAGAAACCCTATATATGTAAGCAATGTGGTAAAGCCTTCACTTATCCCAGTTTGCTTCTATACCATGAAAGGACTCACACAGGAGAGAAACCCTATTCATGTGAGCAATGTGGGAAAGGCTTTTCCTCTTTGAGTAATGTTCGAATACATGAACAAACGCACACTGGAGAGAGATCCTATGTTTGTGAGCAATGTGGGAAAGCCTTTTCTTCCATGAGTAAAGTTCGAGTACATGGACGAGTTCACACTGGAGAGAAACCCTATGTATGTAAGAAATGTGGAAAAGCCTTCTCCTATCGTAATTACATTCGATACCATGAAAGAATTCACAGTGGAGAGAAGCCCTATGGATGTAAGCAGTGTGGAAAAGCCTTTGTTCGACCCAGTCACCTTCACCGACATGAAAGAATTCACACTGTAGAGAAACCCTATGGATGTAAGCTGTGTTGCAAAGCCTTCTCTAACTACAATTCCCTTCGCTATCATGAAATGGTTCACACTGGGGAGAAACCATATGTATGCAAACTATGTGGGAGAGCCTTTTCTTGTTTGAGTACCCTTCGAAGACATGAACGAATTCACACTAAGAGAGACCCTATGTATGTAAGCAATGTGGGAAAGCCTTTACTCGTTCCAGTCACCTTCAAGGACATGAAGGCACTCACACTAGAGAGAAATCATGTGTATGTAAGCACTGTGACAAGGCCTTCACTAATCACAATTGCCTTCGGTTCCATGAAAGAGTTCACGCTTTGGAGAAACTCTGTGTATGTAAGCAATGTGGGAAAGCATTTTCTTCTTCAAGTAACCTTCAAAGACATGAGCAAACTCACACTGGAGATAAACCCTGTCTTTGTAAGCAATGTGGAAAAGCCTTCACTTATTCTGCTTCCCTTCAGAAACATGAAAGGACTCATTGAAGGTAATTGCTTAAGATAGAATGTGAGAAGGCTTTGTTATCACATGACCTTTCTAGCAAATGGGACAGTGCAAACAGCAGACAGGTAGTATCAACAATGTAAAATGTATGGGTCACCTCTAGTCTCAGTTGAAATCACAAACATAAAAGAGTGCTGTGGTGAGAAATCCTGAAGAAAAGAGTTGGGCAGAAGTCTTTCCTTGTCCCACGCCAAAGAATGCATCTAAGATCAAAACCATATAAATGTAAAAAACAACCAAGGTGTCAGCTGAAAAAAATACTTTCAGTCTTCTCTTAAAATTCCTTTTATAATGGAATCCTATGAATGGATATAAGTCATATGAAAAACTACATGCAAAATAACTTTCTGTTATTTCTGTGTGAAATTACACAACCTGACTGAAATCTCTAAAGTTTATATGTTATGCTTATCTGTGCCTTTTTCTCTTTTTTTGTTTCCCTTTTCTCCCCCCACCCCCCTTTTGGGTTTGAACTCAGGGTCTCACTCTTGCTAGGCAGGCATTGTACCATCTGAGCCACTCTGCCAATCATTTTTTAATGTTATGTGATTTTTGCCGTAGGGTCTTGAGAGCTGTTTCCCCTAGCTGGCCTCAAACCATGATCCTTCTGATCTCTGCCTCCCAAGTAGCTAAGAGTAGGTGTGAGGCATTGGCACCCAACTTTATCATTGCCTTATTCTTGAAGGAAATCTCTGGATTGTTTTTCTACTCTTCTCCCCCCTTTTCCCCCCACAGTACTGGGGTTTTTAAACTCAGGGTCTACATCTTGAGCCACTCTACCAACCCTTTTTTTGTGGTAGGTTTTTGCAAGATAGGATCTCACAGAACTGTTTCCCTGCGCTGGCTTAGAACAACAATCCTCCTGATGGCTGCTTAATGAGTAGCTAGGATTACAGGTGTGAGCCACTGGCTTGCTATTCCCTATTTTTAAAAAGTACCTATGTTATATAATTCTCTAAGGTTGGAGTAAGCAGTAGTATCTGAATTTAAGCAGTAGTGTCTTCTTGTAACCCAGCACTTGGGAGCCTGAAGCAAGATCATGAGTTCACCAAGGCCTCATAATGAGACCCTGTCTGAAAAAAAACTTAAAAAAAAATCCAGTGGCACCCCTATAATCCTAGCTACTTGAAGCTGAGATCAGAAGGATCTTGGTTGGAGGCCAGCCCTCGCAAATAGTTCACAAGACCGCCCTCTTTAAAATAACTAGTGCAGAATGAACTGGGCATGTGCCTCAAGCCCATCAAGCCGTAAAGCACTTGCTTTGCAGGCATAAAGCCTTGAGTTAAGCACCATTCCCGCCCAAAAAAAAAAAAAAACACTGTCAAGAGTAATCAAATCAAGTAAATCATTTTATCTCCTTTCAGTTTTAACCTATGGTACATAAATCAAAATGTATTTCTAGTGTCCCATGGGGCTTAGTTTTTATTTTTAAAATAAGTATTTTTAAAAATCATTCTCTAGATGAGTTTATTTTGGGGATTTTGTACTGGTTGTGTATGGCAGCTCTTCCCATTTTCATCAGATCAAATTTTTTTTTTTTTTTTTAGTGGGACTGACTGGTGTTTGAACTCAGGGATTCATGCTTGCAAAGCAAGTGTTCTAATACTTGAACCACACCTCTAGTCGATTTTTCTCTGGTTATTTTGGAGCTAGGGCCTTCACCGAATATCCTCCTGCTCTTAGCCTCCCAAGTAGCTTGTAGATTACAGGTGTGAGCTACCAGCACCTGGCCCTTTGATGACATTTTTTGTGTAGATTTTCTGTTTTTCACTTTTGTGGATTGAGGCAGTACTTGGCTTGAACTCACAGTTTGTACATGCTAGGCTGGCATCCTGTTGCTTGAACCACACCCCCCAGCCCTCTTTTGCTTTAGCTATTGTTTAGATAGGGCCTTAAATTTTGCCCAAACTGCAATCCTCCTACCTGCTGCCTCCCCATTAGCTGGGGTCACACACACACACACACACACACACACACACACACACACACACACAAACACACACACACTACTTGGTTAGATACTAAGTTTATGTGCCAGTTTATATATAGTTTGTTTAACTTACAGTACCAAATTATGATAGTTCAGTCTATGTGTATCAAATTTATAGTGACATGAAAACAATAAGCACTCACTAGAATTGTACTTTGAATTTTGAAATACTCTTCCTTCTAGGAATTGTGAAATTCTTTCCTGGCATCACACTCTGTAGTGTCATCTCTATCCCAGGCTCACTGTACAGTTGAATATGAAAATCTCCCCATAGTCTCCTGTGTTAAATGTCTTGTCCTGCTGCTCCTTTGGAAGGTGGTGGAAACTTGAGGAATTTGGGCCTAGTTAGGGAAGTAGGTCACTGGGGATATATATATCTTGTTCCCCAGCACCTTCCTGGTAGCTTCAGCCACACCACACTCCCCTCCCTCCACCCCAACATGTTGTTTCTGCCTCACCCCAGGCCTAAAGCAATAGACTATAAAGCATGAGCCAAAATAACTTCCTTCCTTTTAAATTGTTTCAGATATTTGTTACTGCAAGGAAAAAGTGATGAACCCAACCCATTCCCACCACCTTTGCTAACACTTCTCTCAGAGCCACCCTGGCCTTATTTGTTGCTAACTCAAGCCTTAGAACTGGCACTTCCCTCCCCTGAAAGGAAAATATGACTAGTTCTTTGCATCTTTTAGTACTCAATGTCCTTGAAGGGTGCCACTGCAATACTCTGTCCAATGGGCCTCTCCAGCCCCATCCTCTAATTTCTCTCATGAATTACAGCACTAATTTCTCTCTGAAGTCATTACAAGTTTTGTTTATTGGCCGATGTTTGTATCCCCTGGCTTACCAGCTCTAGAATTTAAGGTTCCCCATGCCTAGAATAGCATGGGCAAGCATCCTAGGAGGAGACATCAGGTGCCACAGGTCACTAGGAGACCTGACAAGGGCCTTTCAGCCTTATCCCTCAGAGATTCTCACTCAGCAGACACAGGATAGGACCCTGATGCAGAATACTGATAGTCATGTTCTGTCAGCATCATGGGCAGGCAGTGGTAAAGAATTGATACTCTACTGTCTGAATTCAGTAAATAACATGGAGAATTCAGCACTTTTTTTTTTTTTTTTTGTGGACTGGTGTTTTAACCAGGGCCTACACCTTGAGCCTCTCCACCAGCCCTTTTTTGTGATGTTTTTTTTTCCGAGTTAGGGTCTCACAAACTATTTGCCCAGGCTGGCTTTGAACCTCAATCTCTGATCTCTGCCTCCAGAGTAACTAGGATTACAGGCATGAGCTGCTTGTGCCTGGCAATGTTTGACACTTTATTTAAAATATTTTAGGTGGTTTTCTCTAAGAAAGGGTAATAGAAGTGTTTTGAGCACACTTAAATAAGGCCAGGTGCAGTGAAATGTTTGGTAGATCAGGGATATTAAATTCATTGTAAACTTAATGGTATACTAACTGATGGTGGGCCCATCAGGACAGGATCTCATCATGACCTGAGAAACATGTATTGATTAATTATTTCAAGTGTTAAAGAGACACAGTGAGCAACAGAATGATGATTTCATCTGATTTTTTTTTTCTGGGCTGCAGGCAGATTATTCCAAAGATAGCTACCATGATTCAATAAATGAGCAATCATTAGTGATGTCCTGTGAATGGATGTGTAGCACACATCCACTGGCCTTCTTGTAGTTATATAATTACCTTCATAGTGTAAACACAATCAGAGATATTACAGTTGGTTCACATTCAAGATTCCATGAAAGTCAAGCAAATACCCATAGCAGACAATTTTATGGGATCTTTTGGGTCTTCACCTGGGAGTGTAATTGGTGGGTGATAGGGGAAGTCACCATCTGTTCACATGGAGGAGTGCTAATCAGACCTCCCAAGCATTTGTGCCAATGGATTGATTTATGCATGAGTGTTATTAGCAGAGTCTTGTTTGCCAAGGGTTCTTTGTGGCTCCTGTGAGAACAGAGTAGAGGACAAGTATGGCTTGCGGAGAAAGATGGTGAGTGGTGGGAGTGGGTTCCTGGAATGGGGATAGTGGAGGGATTTGGAACTTGATTTATAAGGGAAGTAGACTATAACCACCACACTTCTGCATTTGTCTGGGGGAGTGTTTTGCGTTTTGGTGGTTGTACTTGGGATTGGATGCAGGGCCTTGTACATTGGAGGCAAGCACTTGAACCACATGCTGAGTTCATGCTGGAGCTTGAACTCAGGGTCTCATGCTTTCTAGGCAGGCACTGTACCACTTGAGCCATTCCACCAGCCATGTTTTGTGTTAAGATACTTTCGAGGTAGGGTGAGAAGTATTGCTCCCACTGGCTTGGAAATCATGATCCTTCTAATCACTGCCCCCAAGTAGCCAGGATTACAGATGTCAGCCACCAGTGCCTGGCCCCACCACTCTAAGTAAATGTCTGTGCTGTCATCGACAACCAGATCTCCAGCTCTGCACTCACTAACAGGGTGCCCAAGAGTTGTATTGAGTTCTAACACCACCTGGAGTGTCTGACCCCATGGGTTTTATGGTTCAACCCCCAAGACCACTCTCAGGTCAGATGCCAGTAAAACAGGGTGTGCAGGTGTTGGAATTAAAGTCCCTCTGGTGCCAAAAACAGACACAGGAGAGACAGAAGATCTTGCCAAGGCAATTTCTTTTGGTCAAAAGGGTGCAAGCATGTACTCACTCCAGCTGATCAGACAGGAGAGCACAAAATGATTGACAGTGGCTTCTTATATCCCTGACCCAGTTGTACCTGCCCCTTACCTGGGTTTTGTCCAGGTCAAAGTTTCACGATCTTTCTCAGTTGGCTTGGGGGATGGGTTAGGTCGCGTGATTTGGCGGGCAATTTTCACAGGCAATGGGGCTGTACAAGAATCTGGAAGAAGAAACTGGAACCCTTTAAATAATGCAAGTCACCTAAGATGGCAACCTGAGGAATTTTAAGTACTCTAACAGGGTGACATATACTTTGATAGAAAAGATCAGTTTTTTTACACTTTCAATCTTGTGGTCTTGTTCCTTTTTTCTCTACTTGTATGCTTTTTTGTTTTTTCTTTATCATTTGTGCCTATATTAAGTTCTTTTTGCAGTTACCACAAGTTTTCATAAAATCTTATGGTTATATTCTTGTAATTTTAGCAAACAAAAATTTAGCTGTAATTGCATACAAATTCTCTATACTTCTGTCCTTCCCATTCCACATTTAATACTGTTTATGTTCACAGGC